AATGATGAGGAAATAAGCTCTAGAAGAGCCCACGACATAACATTTCATGAAACTCCCGAAAAAGTTACCTGAAAATAAAGAAAATGATGAAATCTCCACAAGTTATGTCGCTTCGGAACTGACACAAAATGATCGTCGATGATATATTTAATACAATATAGTGCACAATATTTTAAAAGATTGTGAGGATCGGACTAGCAGTCCAGACACTTGAACATGTCATACCATTTAGATACAAGTCTTAACCTATATGACTTATTTGACTAAATCTATATGAAAATCCTTGAAGGATTGAAAATGCCTGAAGCATATAATTCAAAGTCATGAGAAATGTACTCGATCAAATTATAAAGATCTTTGTACGGTTTAAAACAATTTGTGCGTGTGTGGTATAACCGCCTCATTAAATATTTGCTGAAAGAAAGTTACATAAATTATGTTATTTGTCCATGTATTTTTATAAAGAAAATGTCATCAAAATTTGTTACACTTGCTGTTTATGTTGGTGACATAAATCTTATTGGAACTCCGGAAGAGCTCCAAGAGGGTCTTAAAAATACTTTTACATGGACAAAGTGTACCCATTAAGTACACCAATGAATATTCAATCACTTGAAGTGAATAAGGATCCGTTCCAACCTCTAGAAGAGGATGAGGAGCTCCTTGGTCCTGAAATACTCTATCTCGGTGTAGATGATGCACTTATTTATCTTGCTAATGCTAACAAAAGTGGTGCAGATCGTATTGGTAATGCAGATGCAGGTTATTTATCCGATACCCATAAAGCTCGATTTCAAACCGGCAAGCAGGGAGTGCATATGATTGAGATCAGTGATTCATTCGAGAAACATGTGGGTTGGAATGTGATAAAAGACCCACAATATTATACGGAGACAATGTTTCATGCATAGCACTATTAAAGGGAGGATTTATAAAAGGAGATAGAACGAAGAACATTTCACCAGAATTATTCTACATACATGATCTTCAGGAAAATTGTGACATTGATGTGCATCAAATTAGTTCAAGTGACAATCCAACAGATTGTCTTTACCAACATCAATTTTTGAGAATATGGTATACAAGATTGGAATGCGGAGACTCAAATATTTGAAATAAGGTTTTCTTCAGGGGGAGTAAAATGCGCGTTGTACTCTTTTTCCCTTACTAAGGTTTTTCCCACAGGGTTTTCCTTATAAGGTTTTTAATGAGGCAGCCAGCAATGCGTATTACTAAATATGTGTACTCTTTTTCCTTCACTAGGATTTTTTCCCACGTGGTTTTTCCTAGTAAGGTTTTAATGAGGCACATTATCTTTTAATGAACATCCAAGGGGGAGTGTTATAAATATATTATATTATGGATGTTCATTTAGTACTCCGTTGTAAATAATCTTCCTGAAGAAGCTCATCCATATGGGACTCCACCGTAAATATGTTTATCTTTTTAGTACTCTATTGGAAATAAGCTTCCTGAAGAAGCTTATCACTTCGATACCCGGTTATGGATAAACATTACCCTAGGTAGAAGATTATCCATACCGGATATAATAAGCTTATCCATTCAGTACTCCTTTATGGATAAACATTGCTCTCAGTAGAAGATTATCCATATCTGATACAGTAGCAGCTTCCTTTCTTCTATAAATAGAAGAGATTTCAGTTCATTATGTACATCAGTTTGAATTCGAATAATATATCAATTTCTCTCTATACTTGTCTTTACTTTACAGTCTTTATTTTATAACAGGCTTGCCAATTTTTTTTGGGAGTAATATATGGAAAAATCTATTATCTAACTACGGTTAAGAGCTTGCTTTAATTAATTGAATTTAAACCATTGATATTAAAATGAGGCACATGTCACTCATTCAAGTGAGAACTTGGGGAAAATTTAAACCATTGATATTAAAATGAGGCACATGTCACTCATTCAAGTGAGAACTTGGGGAAAATTTAAACCATTGATATTAAAATGAGGCAGATGTCACTCATTCAAGTGAGAACTTGGGGAAATGGAGAGGAGTTGGATCCATATGATATTGGTCTATCATTTTCAAAACTAAACCTATAATACCGAACCAAAAATCTTTCAAAATTGTACCAAACATGAACACCCCTGATTCACGGAGGTATCAATAATTGAACTTTAGTTCCGTCCGTCTGGACACAGCTTATGTACAATTACAAGAGCTTATGCATAAAAACACCAGTATATCTTTAAGCTAGGAAGTTTACACAATTAAGTTTTGGGCTTCTTTTGTGAAGTCCCCTCTCCTGGCTCAGACTTGCGCTTTATGCCCAAAAAGTGCTCAACCTGAAAGACAAAGCGATAAGAATGATAACCCGAAGAGAACTAGATGAGTGAACAAGCATAAATATAGGCTGCTCAACTGATGGTTATGTGCAAACACTAAAAGCCATAACATCAGAAATAGGATTATTAAACCATCTCAAGTCAATCGGCATGGGAGCCCTACTTTGCTTTACACTTTCAACTCTATTAGGACAATCAACTAATGCACTGTAAGATAAACGCAAAAACCAGAAGCATTTTGACTTGATTAAGGTTCATGGATGGTAAGGAAAAAAGGCGCTTTTTTCAATATGTCATGGGCAAATTACACCGTTTCAGTACTAGGCTACATATTTGAAAAAGGTTTACATGGATAAACAAACCACTATTGCTAGTTGCATCAGGCGCGGAGCTAGCCTTGCGGTTGCGGGTTCGGCCGAACCCAGTAGCTTTGGTTCAAACCCTGTGTTTGTCTTGAGAAATCCATTGAATATATACAAATTAGTAATTTAGAACCCAGTAGCTTAAACTGGTTGAAAATCCGAACCCATAAACTCCAAATCCTGGCTCCGCCTCTGAGTTGCATATGTCTAAGCATTGATTAAGCGTCATAAATCATAATAAAACAGAAAAGCAATATCCTCAATAGAACACATGCGCAAGCGCATGCCACATAGCTAAGGAAAGAGACTTTTGAGTCAAATTTTTTTAAGAAGAAGACTTAGTAATCTACTTAGACCTGAAAGAAATCGTTTAGTTGGGAAACAAGTTATCCCAAAATTAATTATCCCAGGGTTGTTATCCCACCCTCCCATAGGGATAAAAATAACACTACAATCCCGGGATTAGTTATACCGCGATTTTATCCTGTGGATAAACTCGTGTCAGATTTAATCCCAAAAAATTATTCCTTATCCCTCGTACCAAACGAGCCAAGGAACAACATATACTGAGAACATTTTCCACAGCTAATTAAGGGTATTTTAACCAAAAATATAACCAAGTTCATCTGCCACTAACCAAATACTACAAAATAGGACATAACTAAGTTCATCTGCCACTAACCAAATACTACAAAATAGGACATAACTAAGTTCATCTGCCACTAACCAAATACTACAAAACAGGATATAACTAAGTTCATCTGCCACTAACCAAATACTACAGAATAGGACTGTTCATTAGGTAACAACAGTATTCTTACTTATCGAGGGGGGAGGAAAAGCAGGTCCAGCGAAACTAAAGACGACACATTCAAGGACTATATAGCACACAAAATGGTTCAGGTGACATCTCTTCAGGAATGTTACATCCAAATCATGGAGTCCTAGATAACTAAAATTTGCTCCAGTGTTGCGAGTGTGAATCATACAACACAAATATCAACACCACATCAATTATGCTAAATCATGCTACAAGCTAGATAAAAAAGAAAAGCACAATGGTTTGCATCATGAACAAATAGCACATTAGAACACACTGAATCACAAGCACTGAGCATAGCATGAGAATCAATCCACCGCAAATATATGTATTCAGGTGACAGCTAGTGAGCTCTCAAGTAAATCAGCATCCTAGCCACTTATGTAAGTATAATCATCAGCAAAAGATACTGACCTTCTTATCACCGAGCATGGGGGTCAAACCTCCAGGCAGGTCCTTCTCAACAGTAGCAAAACCACTCCTAGGATCACTAGTTTGCCTGGCATAACAAATACTTTACAATTACAAAACCATATAGAATGTGTGGACACATAAAAAAAAAACAAGTTTGTGACATGAAAAATATGCGAGAGTCAGTTATATGTACATATATTTCAATGACATGCATAATCTCAAGGGTTGCAATCATTCAAAGTTAAACGTGATCGAGTAATCTAAAATACACATGCACAAATCTGAACACCCGTGAGATAAAACAAACAACACTGTTAATAAAGACTAATCTTCTCAAGTCATTGAATATGTGTTCTGACTTGAGAGCAAAGACAAAGGAATGCACTGAAGAAGCAAATATCATCGTTCAAATTTAAAAATAAAAAAAGGACAGCCCGGTGCACAAAGCATCCCACGTTCACGCAGAGTTCGTCCAAGTGTAACACTCCTCAAATTTATATAAGTTTCGAGACACGCTATTGTGAAAATATATATATATATATATATATATACGCGCGCACACATACACTTAAATAATTGGATATACAATTAGAGGAATATTAATAATATATTAATAATTTTAGTGTTATTAATTATGGATAGTGGGTATTATTAATTATTAGTTAAGTTTTTTTTTTTAAAAAAAAAACAAACAAAATAAAGGAAAAAAGGATAGTGCACGTGACCTACCTATGAAGTGGGTACAAAAAAAAGGAATACAAAGGGCTTAATGCCCTGAACAAAAACAGAGTCATTCTGTTTTCAAACGCAGGCCTGCGAAACGGAGGCAGCCACGCACGGAAAATTCTAGGTTCTTTACAAGTCACGAATTCTTGAACTCAGGTATATAAAATTCCCTATTGTTAATTACCGTACAGTAGTAATAGGTAAGAATTGAATAGTCAATTCCATTCTTTCTATATATCAACAATAAATTTCATGTTTAGGTGTGAAACTTTAAAATTGATTAAAATACACTGGTTGTTGTAGAATCGATTGTTTGACTGGTGTCAATTAGACTAGGGTCTACGTATTGGCTCGAGAAGTTTTGAGGTGAGTTAATATAACACTTTACTAAAGTGGTTTAACTCACAAAAGCACGCACGCAAGGTGTTTGATTAATTGCATAAAAGAGTTAATATATATTTAATTGGAGTAGTAAGTACCTATTAACTTAGAATTATTTTCTAGCTAAAGTTTAGATGATTATTTGGATATATGTGCATAAATTTCAGATTTTTATGTTATTCTTATATGCCATCTTCATGTTGAAAATTCATGAAGTATCAAGAACCTTTATAAATACTTTTGAATGTTTATTCCATTCTTATGCCATGACTTACATTTAAGGATATCAGTATGAGTATGTATAAAAGATTTAGACTTGCAAAGTCACAAGAAGAAGTTTTAGAAAGAAAAGATTTTTGGAAGTATCCTTTATTCTGAGAAGGGGTCATCGTCCAGGCCTAGGGTCCTGACCAAGGCGTTGACTTCTGAAACTACTTGTGCCAAAGTAGGGAGCACACGAGCCAAGGGTCTCGTTGCTGAGAATTTACTTAGTCATGCTAAGGTATGAGACATGAGCGCTGAGAACTCGTGGATTGGGCCTATTCGATCAGGTTGGGATCGAACCCGTGCCGATCACATGGTGACTGAGGCAGAATTAAGTCAGCATAGTTGGAACTCCCAAAGTATAAAGTGGAGTATATTTTTTTTTAGAAAGAAAAAAAAAAGAATTTCTTTTAGAATATTCAAAAACTGCTATTATGCAATTATTTAGAATTATTCTTAT